AAATGTTAAAAATTTCTCTCGTGAGCGCTGCATATCCACTGAGTCACTCCACACCAGCTCATCAGACGGTTTACATTGCGGTACTCTGGTTACAGTGTTTGTCTATCACTCTAATCAGTCCGGTCCAGCTCAGCTGGTCACCTGACGAATCTTGCCGCCCATTTTCCAACTCCTAAATTTTGCTGAGAAAGCAATGAAAATGGCTGCCTGAACGCTGGCACTGGAAACTCAGGAAAGCGAAAGAGAAAGCCCCTTCTGTTGCACCTGTAAGTTCAGAGGATTTGTGACACAGAAACAAGGTGGCATTCAGGGCGGCTCATGTTACGACGCAGGAGTGTCGGTTTTCCAAGCAGACAACTAAAATTATCATTATTTTCAAGGTTTTATTCAGGATGTAAAACGATAACCGACACGATGAAAGGATTCATTTGAATATTTCCGTTTTCTGGTTCCTTTTTGGAGAGGCGTGCGTTGTTAAACCAGCGGAGCCGCTTCCTGTGCCGTAGAAAACTTTTCCATTCAGGCAAAGTTGGTTGTCGGTACGCCCGCAGTGAAAGGCGATGATTGTGTCCATGAAGGAAACACAAAGCCACTGTTTCCACAAAAATAAACCTGCAGCAGGTACTGTCATCGTCTGTCCTAATTACTTTATCACTAAAGGAGTGACTAGTTACTAGGCAATAGCACCTTCGCTACTCGAGGCACAAGAAGCAAATTCAATTTTTTTTTCAAATTCTGCAGATTTGTGATGATAAACATGTAGTTTATTTCCATATTTAGAAGTATTTATTAAGATACAGATAGAAGTGATGGTAAAAAAGTATTGTTAGCCAATTTTATTGCACTATTAACACCATTAAATTGACAAAAGAAGGCAAAAGTTACAAAGAGAGGCCGTAATCTGTACATCTTAATAATAAACTGCTTTTTAACATCAAGGGTTAAATATATTTCCTCTTAAAGAAATGATTACAGAAAGATACTCACTGATGTGAAGTAATTTGCACAGTTCTAATGCTACATTGTTTTGAGAATTAGATATTCTATTAAAATGTGTTTCACTAAATAATTAACCGGGGCTGCAGCAATATTTAAAATTATTCTCCATCATAAAATGTACTGAAAACAACAAGCATGTGGAAAGAAACTGTTTGGACAGCAATAAATGTTAGTTAAATATGTAAGCTATCAGGTCGTATGCAAGTCATATATTTAGTAACTCTTGTTGCTTAAATGGCAGATAGGATGTAGGAGAGGCATGGCAGGGGTAACTTTGTTTAGGAAAATTATTTCAGATGGAAATCTAAATTTTCCCATCAATAGTTGGATACACGCCTTACTTGAAAATACATGTCCCGTTTGATTGTTGCAATAACAAACAGAGACATCATAAGTGGTATTATTTAAGCTTTTGGTTGTGTTCCTGGATAATTAACAAACTTGCAGTTAATTTGCAAAACAAAAGTTTATCAGTCCTTGTGTTACTTTGCTATTATCAATACCTTAACTTGAAAATGGTCTCAAAATGACAATATTATCATTTACATCAGTCAGGAAGGGGACGATTTATTGTCCAGCAAAATGTGTTATTGTGACAGGTTTAATTAACACTGTCTACTTGTGTGTTTATCTCTAAGTCTCGGAGTTGTTGCTACATACACCAATATCCTCCAGCCCTAAACATGACCCGCAAATTCCTGCATTAATGTGTAATTGAAGGTTCTGCTGTTGAGTGGATCATTCCTGCTGGGAAACACTTAACATGATCGAACACGTTCTGATTCTTTGGAGCTTTTTCATGTTTAAAGTTTGCAACTGAGTCGGCCAACTAATTTGCTCCTCTAAGTATCTGGATGGTAAATGAAACCTGACAGAAGCACGGTCATATTTACTCTAAACTCCCTGTTTGTTGAGGAGCTTAAAGAAACTTGTTTTTCCATTTCTAAGTAGCAGTTAAAGTCTTCAAATCATAATGTATCCCAACAATTGACAAAACCGTTTCAAGTAATAAACGGTCAACAAAAAAAAAAAAAAAAAAAAAAAGAGAAGAAAAAAATAAATAAAAAATTAAAAAAGGTCCAGATTTACAAGAATGTCAGCCCCTGGGCTGGAAACCATTTGGTGCCCTATTCACAAAAAAATAATTATTTTTACTAATGCAAATTACTAGGGCTGTCTCAATAAGCAATAAATCATTTAATAGTTTAATCAATTAAAATGAGCTTAATAATTCCTATTTGCACAATGTATTATTTTTCTCTTTTCTCTTCCTCTTTCTACCAAAATCTAGATGAGAAAAGTCTTCAATATGGTGCATTGGTCTCAACTAGACCATTTTTTTGAAGGGCCATTTGGTTTACAGAAACGTCATAATTCGTTTTACTTGTTGTTTTGTTTATTTATTCTGAATATTTAAAATGTCTTCCAGTTCCAGGGTTAAATATCCATCAGAATTTAAAGTTTCTTGATTGTTCAGAATGTGTTCTTGCATTTTTATCCCATTACCATTATATCATTTAAAAATGGTCTCAAAACAACAGTATTATGGCTTACTGCGATCATTTCTGATCAGCAAAATTAGTTATCATAGCAGGCCTACAAGTAACACTACATTAATAGATTAAACTATACGCAATTGGATATGAACCGATGATACAAACTGATGGTGGAAGGTTTAATATTGTAACTTAAAATTTTAAGACATTTTAAAACACCCGAGTATATTCATATGAGTCTTATATGAAGCATAATGTCAGCAAAAAATGCATTTATGAATGAAAATAAATAAGAAAAACATGTACGGGCCACTCCCAAAAATATGGGCCGTGAGCTGCTGCCTGTTATTTAAAGTTTGGCTCAGCACAGATTGGTGTCACCTTATATCACTTTGATACTGTCATCATATCCTTTAAAACAGCCTTTTGCATTTCAGTTGCAGTGTTTTTCTGTAAGATTAGGATGATTATAAAAGGAGTTGGATTAGGCTGATAACAAGATGCTACACATTTCAGATCCAGCCTTTTTTTCTTTTTCTTTTTTTGTCCAGTTCGACACAAAACAATCCAAGCCAAGTCCAGAGCTCGCTGTGTTTGCACGCACTCCGTTCCCCAAAACAGGAAACGTTAAACTCGTCGAGATAAGGGTTGCACAGAACGAGCTCGCAAAACGAAACAAGACTGCAGGCCACAAAATCCACAAAGCCACGTCGTTGAAACCAAGATTGGAAAACCGCCTCATAGGGCGCAGAAAATGTCGTCTCTCACACTTTATCTCCGACTTGTACCAAACGCACATATCCGATTTTGCAACAGAGCAAACAGTTTATCTGCACAGAGACTCTGCTCTGTCTCTCTCTCTATCTCTCTTTCTACTTGCACGGAAAGAGCTAAAACTTCCTCTGCTTGAATAAGAAAAAACAACAACTTTGTTTCACAACAGGTGGCAACTTGGCAGAGAAAAAGGAATTGTGAAGAACTTTTACCCCAACAGATTTAACACGAATCAGCAGAACCCGCTCTGCTCTGAAAGGTTGAATCATTTCTCTTTTGCAAGCATTACATCACAAAAGGCGTTCCTCGCTGTGTTTTTTTGGAAGGTGAAACGCGTGAATCTGAAAATAAAAAAACAATAAAAAAACGAACACCTCAGGAGAAACTGTCACACTCTGGAGCTGCACTCACATGTGAGTGAGCCCGGCCCACTACAGGAAGCCGATCAGAACTCACACAGTTTTTACTGCCGACACGTTTTTCACCAGCTGTGGAAAGGAAAGCGTTCCCTTCTGAAACTGTCAGGAGATTAGATAGAACAACAAAACACAGAGTGAGGTGTCCAAGGGAGTGAGAGTTGATGTGATGACAAGAACTTCCTCTGCTTATCCGTTTGCTTTTACAGTGCTGACACAGTTAAGATAGCAATGCAGGCCCAATACATAAGAACTCAAATACCTAAATCATTTGTCCTATTCATTAAAAGTACTTCAGGAACTCCTACTATTTTAAAGTCACATGAAACCACTTTGATGGACTTTGTAAAGACAGCAATTTAGTCAGAATACGGTTAGGGACGCATGCTACTACTGTACCAATTGTTAACATAATAAAAACTAGTTTTAAAAGCTTTCCACCAACATAAAGTTATAAGTTCAATCTCTTTTAACAATGCGCTTAGGAGAAGCAAGACTCCTAAATCTAATTCTCCTCAGGTCTCCACAAAACCCTGCAACAGGATAAAGCAGGACTGAAAAAGTAGATTCTCAAGAGAACTCATTACAATAAAAATGACAATATTTCAATTTGAAATACACTCATTTGAGAGCGTTGAAGATTTCTAGTTTTAAACCGCTATAACACGTTTTTTTTTTCTGAAATAAGGTGACTCGGCGGTTTACAATACTTGAATATCGCGATATTTAAGCCAAATTGCACACGCAAACACCTAAACGTACGTGGTAGAAGAGGCGAAACTTATTCCCTACTATTATTTTTCGTTCATTTTATGATTTAATAATTTTTAAAAACAACAGTTATGTGCGTTATTTAAGTTTTGGTTCCCAACAGAGCGCGAGGAAAAAGAAACTCAACTGCGCTCGCGCTTCAACCGACAGGAATCCAACTCCAGGCCGACGTCGAGTTCAACCGTGGAGATTATTACGAGTTTTATTTCATTTTGGCAACAAATCCTTGTACCTAAAGAGTGGGAAGCGAAACGAAATGGAGCGAAAACTGACGAGGACATAAACGTGCCTTTAATGGCCGTTACTGTTGAAGTCCAATAAAACGCTAAAAGCCAAATCAGGAAGTAACGTCCGGCCGAATTCCGAATTTCTAAACGTTTTTAATGCCACGCAAAACACGACATTTTTATTTTTATTTTTTTTAACGGCAAGTTACACATGAACATAAACTACTTTGCAGCGCTTCGGACGACAGCCAACAGGCTGAAAACCAGTTTAGTTTTCGCTCTTTCCGTTCTGCTTCAAAAGCCATTTTCAACCTCACCGTTTCGTCCTCGGGGATCAGAGTTTCAGCATCTTTCTTCACGTCTTTCTGAGCCAAAGCGGTATTGAACGACACTTTCACCATCCTGAAACCGTCGGCAACAGATTCCCAGAGGCGAACAAAGACGAAGGAAATGGTTGAGAGGGACAAAAAGATATCAGAAGTTGCTCCGAAGTGAAGTCGGTTCACTTCCTATTCGGCCAAGTCTGGTATGTTGTGAAAACAAAGCCGCGGAGGTCATCAAGGTAGCATACGGAGCTCCTGCGCAACTTCCGCTAGGCTTTCCAAAATAAAACGAGTTGGGTCGATCCTGTTCTTTTTTTTTTTTTTGAAGATTGTTAAATAAAACTAAGCGAACAAAATACAGTTGAAGATTTTTAAATTCAAGATTGCTTTAAGACAATTGATGGTACAATAAGCTAAAAAGAAATATAGAAAATGGTGGGAAAAAAAATCATAATCTGAACAAAAACATAAAACCGAAAGTTTAAGGAAAAAATATGTGCCTATTCTGTATATTAAATTCCAACTTAAGTTTTTTCTTTCTTTTTTCTTTGGAAAACATACACTGCATTGAAGATTAATGTGAGGCAGATATTAATTTATTCTGGCAATGAAATAGGTGGAAGAATGAAAAAAAGCAAAACATATATAGAGCTATTTAAGAGAATCTACTTTTATGCCAAGCTGCCAACAGCGAGAAAATGCAAATTATAATGATTGGAACATGAGGCAATTTTGTTCCAATATTAGCATATTGATGTGTTATTGTCAGCTTTAATGTTTAGTTTTATTCTTGCTCATGTCTAAATACAGTATCATAATATATAACATAATATATAACATAAATAAGTTGACTTAGACAATGTCTTATTCTTACTGGGTGGATGTATGTCATTTTTTTCTTCTTTTCAAAGGGAATAATAATAATAATAATAAATAATAATAATAATAATAATAATAATAATAATAATAATAATAATAATAATAAATAAATAATAATAATAATAATAATAATAATAATAATAATAATAATAATAATAATAATGGCAGTGTAAGCCAATTATGCAGAAGCCACGAAAAAATTGGAGCAGTGAAAATAAACACAGCTGTTACCACCAATAAATATTTTCGGATTAATACGTATGAGGCTTTTTTTTATTTTTTTTTTTCAAAATGCCAATTTATTTTTGTATAAAGCTGAAATATACAGAGGACATGCTTGATAAACAGGGACATTTGAAACTATTAGATAACACGTATGATAAAAAAAAATGGAGGTGCGCACAACCCATTTCTCACAAAGTTGTGTTTTTATGAACTTCCTGCAGAAAGATTCTCCGTCTGGCTTTTTGTTGTTTTGTTCCATTCGTGCTTTTATTTACACGAACCGGAAACCCCGTGGTCGTCGAAATGCGAGCTTTACTTGATCTGTTGTCGAGCAGAAACACAACTTCACAGACGAGACGGGCTGTTGTCGGCGGTCCGTACTGCGCATGCGGGTTAGTTGCCCCCTTTGGGTTCAGCTGAGGATTTACATCAGCTTCAAGTACGTCTGCTGGGACGATCACAACATTAGGTTTGAAAGGCAACCTGCAATTTGGACACTCGTTCACAAAAATAAACTTTGCTTTCACTTTTCCAGCGAGGCTTCGGTCGTAAATCGCCCCAAACACTCATCCACACACACTGCCTGCCTCTGTGGATGCCCAATCTGCTTCACTTTGATTTGATTTGATTTTATTTTGTTGTTGTTGTTGTTGGATTAACATGCTTAGAAATGAGCTAGACGTGCAATATTTTAATGAAGCAAATCATTTCAGATGGAAGTGTGAATTATTGTAGTTTGAAACCGAAGACATAGATTTTGCACATTTGCTTTATTAAAAGAAGCAGATTCTTTTGGACTCAATTGAAAAAAAACAACAACATAAATTTACTGTTGTACCAAAAAGAAAAACTGTTTAAGTTGTATATAATAAGATCATACAGCCTATTTCAGTTTCGAGCTGTTTCCAATGATTCTCGATTTAACTCTGTTTTCTTTTCTCACTTCTTCTTTTTTATTTTATTTTGAATGCTGAGTTTGCAACCAGCAAACGCAAAAAAATGTGAACGCGTGCGTTTTTATCCTCCGGTGTTTTGCCCCTCCTGTCGTACCTGAAATTCTCAGCCCCCCAGAGATATCTCTCTCTCTCTCTGTGTGTTTGTGTGTGTGTGTGTGTGTGTGTGTGGTGTGTGTGTGTGTGTGTGTGTGTGTGTGTGTGTGTGTGTGTGTGTGTGTGTGTGTGTGTGTGTGTAACAGCAGACCAGAGAGCAGCCTCATTTGACTTGCAAAACATGGCTCCAATGACAAAGTCTGACACGTCGGTAAGATGAGACTCAGACGGTGAAGAGACGAGACTATTGAGCAACTGCAACAGTTGACTCAACAGAAATGGAAAGCAAGATATTTTCAGTTTCTAACTGATTGCAACATCTCACTCGCAGGATGGGATTATGTTTTAAAGAACCTCAGACCTAAACTAACTGTCAGCTTTTTGTTGCAACGGTTCATATTGTTTGAAAATATCTTGTCGATTGATAAGATTTATTACAAACAGCCACTGGTTGTAAAAACGTCATTTTCGAGCAGAAATAGGGTCAGAACACCTGGATTTAAAAAAAGAAAAAATCTATAGTTTTTTTATCCTTTTTATCGTGGGGGGACACACGTGCTTAGAATCGATGTATTGGATTAGGGAATTATCGCAATAAAGAATAAATCGACTTCATCGCTTTGGAAACAAAACCGAATGGGGCACAAAACCTTTAACAGTCACGTGACATGTGGTATCCATGAATGGTGACGATATGCACAACTAGACATTTAATTCTACAAAAAAGTATTTTTTTAACAGTCGTTTAATTTAGATTCTCCGCGGACGTTTTATTACTTTGACTTTTCTTTGTTGTGTCAATAATTAAAAAATAGAAGCAAATATTCTACCAGTTTATAAAAGTTATAATGACATAAAAAAAAGAATTACAGTAAATCTTAGTGACAGGGCCTAAAATGGAAGTATTTATAATTGTACTATATTATATATTATATGTTATATAAGTATTATTAACAGCTTCTATAGTGTATAATTACATTATTTTAACTCATATGTGTTGCTTTGAAAATAAATAAAATCAATTTTTTTTGTTAAGACAACCCCCACACCCCCAAAAACTAAGTATTCAAATACTATAGTTATTGAGCAGTGGGCGGTCGCCTGCTCCTGATTGGTTCAGCTGTTCATTGGTGACGTCATCCTTGAGTAGCATACGCAAACCCTGAATCACACGTCACCGAGTGACGTCATTGACCGCCTGGTTCAGCTGTTCATTGGTGACGTCATTATTGAATAGCATACGCAAACTCTTAATCATACGTCACTAAGTGACGTCATTGACCGCCTGGTTCAGCTGTTCATTGGTGACGTCATTATTGAGTAGCATACGCAAACCCTGAATCATACGTCACTGAGTGACGTCATTGACCGCCTGAACAAAGTGCTTGAATGTCGGCCCTCTGCCCTCATTTGGTCACTAACGATTTTCTTCGTCTTAAAGGTAAATACGTTAAAAATACTAAAGCCATTGGAGATAGGATCCTGTCTTAAATGGCGAAATGATTGTTTTATCTTGCATCGACATGCAGGATGAAATGATCATTTATAGTCCATTTTTTTATAGTCCATTTTATTTTTAGTTTGCGATAATTTAGTAACTTTATTTTTTGTCTTAGTCGCGTCAATATTTATAAATGCAAAAAACAAAAAATTCTACTTGTTGGATTCGGTTTCTGGTGTTTTCCAGTGAAGCCACAAGGCTTCACCGGTTGTCCACCAGATGGCGCCAGTTTCCGGTGAAGCCTTGCTTGGCTTCACTGGAAAACACCAGAACCGAATCCAACAAGTAGAATATTTTTTGGTTTTTTGCATTCATAAATATTGACGCAACGAAGACAAAAAAATCTGGTGGACACCGGTGAAGCCTTGTGGCTTCACTGGAAAACAACAGAAACCCCGAATCCAACAGTAGACCTGCAGAGGTGTACAGTCTCTGGCGCCATCTGGTGTTTTCCAGTGAAGCCACCATCATCCCTTAAAGAGAGCAGATATAATATCTGGAATCACACAGAGACAGAAGCCACAAGGCTTCACCGGGAACTGGAGTCATCTGGTTCACAACCGGTGAAACCTTGTGGCGATGAAGCCTTGTTGGATTCAAAAACCCGAATCCATTCGGTTTCTGGTGTTTTCCAGTGAAGCCACAAGGCTTCACCGGTTGTCCACCAGATGGCGCCAGTTTCCGGTGAAGCCTTGCTTGTGGCTTCACTGGAAAACACCAGAAACCGAATCCAACAAGTAGAATATTTTTTGGTTTTTTTGCATTTATAAATATTGACGCGACTAAGACAAAAAATAAAGTTACTAAATTATCGCAAACTAAAAAATAAAATGGACTATAAAAAAATGGACTATAAATGATCATTTCATCCTGCATGTCGATACAAGATAAAACAATCATTTCGCCATTTAAGACAGGATCCTATCTCCAATGGCTTTAGTATTTTTAACGTATTTACCTTTAAGACGAAGAAAATCGTTAGTGACCAAATGAGGGCAGGGCCGACATTCAAGCACTTTGTTCAGGCGGTCAATGACGTCACTCAGTGACGTATGATTCAGGGTTTGTATGCTATTCAAGGATGACGTCACCAATGAACAGCTGAACCAGGCGGTCAATGACGTCACTTGGTGACGTGTGATTCAGGGTTTGCGTATGCTATTCAATAATGACGTCACCAATGAACAGCTGAACCAATCAGGAGCAGGCTTAGTTGTTGTTGTTTTTTTGTTTTTTGTTTTATTTTTTATTATTAAACACTTTGACCGATTTTACAATTCTGTCATACTTACATGAAGAAATCAAGTCTTACTGGGTTGAGGCACATATATCATTATAAGACAATAATATATAAAAAAAAAACAAAAAACATTAAGACCTGCAGGTGGCGCGCCGAGGACACAGCCACCAAGAAGAATCGGCTGCGCCTCCGTGGACGGAGGAGCCGGAGCTTCACGGACGGAGGTCCCGGCAGCGGCGGCCTGGCTCCCCGGGTGAGGCAGGCGGGAAGGAGCACTAGGGGGGACCCCCGCTGGGCGCCATCACTGTTTGGAAGGACGGGATGACTCCGGACTTGATAGGGA